TTTAAGTCTGTATGGTCGTTGTTGCAGTCTGTGATGTTGTTTCAGTGTTGTTGTTTGTGTTATCGTTGATGATACTGTGTTTGTTGTTGTAGTTGTTGTTGCGGACATACCTTTTGTATTTAAAGCTAGCAGTTTCAAAGTATTTTTCCCCGTGGTCAACTCGACAGGCTTAGAAAGCCACCTTTTTAAAGTAACCTCTCGCCTCAGGTAAGGGCCGAAAACTTTTTTACAAGCCAGCCATGTAGACCACTTACTCTGATCAACCTTTTACAAATTGACCTCAATTTTCCATCGTCTATAACCTTATTGATCATAGAAATGACGTAAACAACGTTCAAAATTAAAATGAAACCACAAGGCGCAGCCGAGTGGTTTCACTGCAAAGTGTTTCCACGCGAAGAAATTTTTCTCCGACAGATTGCTGAGCATTGCGTGACATGATACGTCATTTTTATGATCTCTCACTTTATTGGCAATGGCTCTCGAACAATGAGCGCGCGAGAATTTCCACCGTTATTGTAAAAAAGAAAGTACACGATAAACAACATGTGCAGTACCTCTTTTCCACAAAACTGAAATAGAACGTAGGGGTCCACGAATTTTTCATCGTCCTGTGGAAAAAAAGATATTTAAGTTTTGTTTTATTTCTTATTCAATCTTTTTATTTGCCAGGGTTGTTTGATTGTTTGTCTACGTCGGAAGACAGAGCAATACCTGGTGCATGTTGAAAAATTTCTTGACACCCTGCATCACTGCTGTATCCACTACAAAAACAAAGAAGACAAATTATATCCACTTCGTTCTTTTTCTCATCTCTCCCTTCAGTTCATTTCATTTTATTCACCGAAAAAGCTCACAATTGTGCTTGAGACGGCCAAACAATACCCTGCTAGCAGACGGGCGTTTATTTGTTAACTTCCCCTACGATCCACGTAAAAATAAAGTCGTCTGCGCTCGGCCTGTTAAATCTTCTTCGAGCATGCGCCTGGGAATTATCCAAGTTTGTGGATAATCTGATTTGCAAAACCGGTCAGAACCTGTTTTAAACACGTTTTTATGANTATAGCAAGACCGAGTACTACCGGGAACAAATTTGTTTCTAAGCAACAGGCCGCGCATGCTCGGAGATTTAACAGGCCGAGCACAGAGGACTTTATTTTTACGTGGACCGTAGGGGAAGTTAACAAATAAACGCCTCTACCAGCAGGGTAGCCAAACAACAGACGTATTTGTAATCTATGATAACCCTATTATAGCTCCAAATTTTTCTATCTCACTAGTTTCTCAGTTAATAGGATTTTTTCGCAGTATTTGGTGATGGTGAACAGATCTAGGAATTCTCTTTGAATACCTTTGAGAACATGTAAAAGTTCGGTCCATAACTGATAACACCATTTGATTGACTTACTCTGAGGAAGATCCTCAGCTCGATAAACTTTGAAAGTAAAAACTGCATCTTGAAGATCGACTCCGGTAGGTCTGAGAAGATTGCTATGGAGAAATAGTTCATAATGAAAGAAAAAAAATTCAACCAAAAAAAACTGACTAAACAAGAAAAAAACCAAGCTAACAAAAACGAAGAAACGTTTCAGCGACTTTCGATTCACAGCTTTTGTGATTTCTAAGTGTTTCAATTACGTAAAATTCCACAATATAACGATACCATTTTCTTTGCAGAGTACCTTCGAATTCATTCCAAATTGAGTAAGAAAATCGCTATAGTGCGAATGTATTTGCAGGTAATTTCTCCATCAACAACCGCTACAACGAGTTTTTGTACCACTGTTGAACGAAACTTTGTGTAACAGCATAAAGTTATCTACTCTCAAAATGGATTGACTTTTGCCTTAGCTTGGGTGAGGTAATTCAAAAATTCATTCTAAAAATTATCATACTAAGTTCCTGCAAATCCTTCCAAAAAGCAAAAATATAAATATAGGTTTGCGAGCTTTTGTTAGATGGTAATAGGACAATATGTACAAGAGCGACAAACTGGCACAAAGCAGATGAGTGCTCTCCAAGAAACAAGATAGGGGACGAATGTAGGCATTAAAGAGAACCTTCCAAATAAATATGTCTAAGTATCTATTTGGGTCACGTTAGTACTCACGCCTCAATGTCATCAGAATCGTCTTCTCCGGCGAGCTTTGACAAAGGCTGAGAATACATCAACAAAATTAAAACAGTAAAACTAAATTACAACTACAGTAACTGTACTTGCTCCATCTGCTTGGTCATGACAACTATGCCTCTGATTAATTTGTTTTCTCCTTTTTTCTTTCCATAGTAAGATCGCCATTTGATTTGAATGGATCTGATCACGGGTTTACTTTCCCATATACATTCTCCCTAATGGTTTTTTTTTTTTTTCTTTTTTTTAGTGTTGGACTTTAGCAGGTATTAAATCTATCAATTACACAAATTTGACTTAATACAAATTAAGATTCAGTTAATGCTCAGATATATAGTTTATTTACCGGTGTTTTATCTCCAGGTCCTAAGACGATCACTGTCGCTTTTAAGTAACCCTATAATCAAAAGTGTAATAAATGAAGATGTGTTAATTCAGTTTATTACACGACTCAGGCATTCAGAGGGCCAATAACTAAAATCAACCAATCAAAATGCTCTA